CCAGTGATGGAATTGTGGGAAAATTCATTGATAAACTTCAAGGGAATGGTTTGGCTCTGAGTTTCCAGTTGGTCCATGGAATGTTTGAATAATAATTAAATATTTATATTTTTATAAATATATATTTATATCTATTTATATATTTATATATAAAAATATATATAAATATATATATTATATATATTTTATATTATATATATTTTATTATATATTATATATATAAATATATATTATAATATAAATATATATTTATATATATTTATATACAAATATATATTTATATTTATATTTATATATTTATATTGAATAATAATTAAATATAATTAAAAATCCCTGATGGGATTTTCTCTCTTTCTGAACATTCCCAGTGATGGAATTGTGGGAAAATTCATTGACAAACTTCAAGGCAATGGTTTGGCTCTGAGTTTCCAGTTGGTCCATGGAGTATTTGAATAATAATTAAATATTTATATTTATATAAATATATATTTATATCTATTTATATATTTATATATAAATATATTAATATATATATTATATATATTTTATATTATATATATTTTATTATATATATTATACATATATATAATTATATATATTATAAATATATATTTATATATATTTATATATATAAATATATATTTATATTTATATATTTATATTGAATAATAATTAAATATAATTAAAAATCCCTGATGGGATTTTTAAATTTTCTCTCTTTCTAAACATTCCCAGTGATGGAATTGTGGGTTAAGATAGAGTCCATCTGATGTTGGAAGTGTGGATTTATTTAAATCATGGATTTAATTATGGATTTAATTATGATAGGGATTTGCCACAATTTGGTGTCATTTCTGGAAAGCCCCATTTGAGACAGGGAATGAAGAATAGGGACAGGAAGTGAAAATTCAGATTTTTATAAGATGATCTTGTGCAAATCTCTGGTGGAACTCAGCTGGAATATTTTACCCACTTGCACTAAATTACACTCAGGAAAGAATGGAATTCCTGGAAAAATCCATTAACAACTTCTGCTTTTTTTAATAAATTATATCATTATTTTTCTTCAGTCATCTACATCTTTGAAGCTTTGTCTGGGAAGCCACTGGGGGATGGAAAACCTCTGACCCACAAGGTAAAGTGAAGGCTTTAATGTCTTTATTTCACTCCAAAATTAAGAATCACTAATGCATTTCCTCAATAATGGCACTAAAAACACATTAAAGGATTTAAAATCTTAATAGAAAGGAGCTTTTCAGCTGACTTTTAATGCTCTGTGTTGTCCTCAGAGCTGTTTTAATCTTCA